GTTCCTCGAAAGACATTTTTAATACCAGAGAGTCTATGTAAATGTATGGGACACAATCAAATTTAAGCAGTTCCAATCCCATAGTACCTAAGTCACATTGTCCTATGACACTTTGCGATTATGTGATTATCTTTCTTCTAGCATATCTCTTTTCTATTGTCTGACATTGTAGCCAAGACATGATTGTCTACCAGTGGTGAAACACAGGCCCCCAAAAGGTGTGACTCCCCAGAGGTCATTTGAATTTGTAGGGGAATTGGAAGCAGAACACAGATTTCCTGACTCACAGCCTAACTTCAGGGACAGTGTGCTCAATGCCAACTATGCTCCATTGCTCTGGGACAGAAGGGGCTCACTTGACCAATTTGAAAATCCTCTCACTGTGTTGAGATGAGTAGAAAACAGAATGTGAAGTTCACATTCTATTTCCTACTGGGAAAATGAGACATCTGGTTTGTACTTAAAGAAGATGGATCCTAAGGGATCTTTGACAATGAGTTGTTTTTCTAAATCTGTCTTTTAGTAATTTAAATATGCATGCAACCAAAACATATGGGGGAAATGTACAAAAAGCTGGGGATGCTGTTGGATGGACAAACCATGAGACAATTTTAGAATAATGGTAGAAGGAATTTCCAAAAGAATGACAGTCTATTATTCCTTTCCCTTGGCCTAGATATTTTGCCTCCATTAGGCAAGAAACGTGTTAGTGGGGGCCTATTATATTTTTAGCACCTATTGTGTTAGGTGCCCGTTAAGACAAAACAGGCCAGGAATCAGTAGGTTTTTAGCAAGATAGTTGTAAGATTCTGAAGAAGGCTCACATGGACTCACCCCTAGTCTGGTGACATACAAGCAGGAAGAGAAGCAATGGGCCAGAGCATTAACTGTGAATACTTTGTCTTCTGAGAATCCCATTGTCTTCTGGATAATGGAACACACTTCCATTGTATTACCATACAGGGTGGGTTAGAAAGGGCAAGTGTGGGTTCCTCCTGATGCAAAAGGTCCCTGATCTAAAATGGCGAGTAGGGAGGGCACTTCCCTGTACCCACAGTCTGCCCCAGCAGTGACTGGATCCCGCTCTGGGCTCCGGCTGGTGGCCAGAAGGGGACTGGCTTGTGGGGGCTTTTCAGCTCACCTCTGGCTATGGGGGCAGCCCTTTCCTACCTCCACGTAGTCTAGGTGGGTTCCTCCAGATACGAAAGTTTTCTGATCTAAAATGGTGAGTCGGGAGGGCACTTCCCTGCACCCGTGGTCTGCCCCAGCAGTGACTGGATCCCCCTCTGGGCTCCAGCTGGTGTCCAGATGGGGCCTGGCTTGTAAAGTGGCAGGATACAAAATCAACACACAAAAATCAGTAGCCTTCCTATACACAAACAATAAATCTGAAGAAGAAGAAATCAAGAAAACCATCCTTTTTATTATTGAAACAAAAAAAAATCAAATACTTGAGAATAAACCTAACAAAAGAAGTAAAGAATCTATACAAAGAAAACTATAAAACACTGTTAAAAGAAATAGAAGAAGACACAAAGAAATGGAAAGACATCCCCTGCTCATGGATTGGAAGAATTAACATTATCAAAATGGCCATCCTGCCAAAAGCAATTTACAGATTCAATGCTATTCCAATAAAATTTTCAATGACATTCTTCAAAGAAATAGAACAAATATTGATGAAATTCATATGGAGCCACCAAAAACCCCAAATAGCCAAAGCTTGCCTGAAAAAAAAGGAAGGGAATGGAGGCATCACATGCCCAGATTTCAAACTATAATACAAAGCCATAATAATCAGAACTGCATGGTATTGGAACAAGAACAGACACACGGACCAATGGAAATGAATAGAAAATCCAGAAATAAACCTACAGATTTACAGTTAACTAATCTTTGACAAAAGAGCAAAGAATATGCAATGGAGCGAAGAAAGTTTGTTCAATAAATGGTGCTGGGAAAACTGGGTCACTACATGCAAAAGAATGAAGCTTGACTACTACCTCACACCATGCACAAAAACCAACTCAAAATGGATTAAAGAACTAGACATAAGACCTGAAACCATAAAATATATAGAAGGAAACATAGGCGAAACACTACATGATATGCACATCAAAGACATCTTTACAGATACATCACCCAAAGCAGTGATAGTGAAGGCAAAGATAAACAGCTGGGACTACATCAAATTAAAGAGCTTCTGCACAGCAAAAAAGACAATAACCAAAACAAAGAGAAACCCCACCAACTGGGAGAACATTTTTGCACACAACACTAATGATAAAGGACTGATCACAAAAATCTACAAAGAGCTGATGAGACTCAACAAAAACAAAGCAAATAACCCAGTCAAAGAATGGGCAGAAGAGCTAAAAAGAAACTTCACCAAAGAGGAAATGCAAATGGCCAACAGGCATATGAAAAAATGTTCAACATCACTTGTAATCAGGGAAATGCAAATCAAAACTACAATGAGATACCATCTTACACCAGTGAGATACCATATTACACCAGTAATATGGCACATATTAAAAAAACTAGCAACAACAAATGTTGGTGAGGATATGGAGAAAAAGGAACTCTCCTGCACTGTTGGTGGGAGTGTAATCTGGTCCAACCACTATGGAAAGCTGTATGGAGTTTTTCCTCAACCTACTAAAGATAGAGCTTCCATATGATCCAGCAATTCCTCTCCTAGGTATTTACCCAAATGACACAGAAACAGTAATTCCAAAGGGCACCTGCACCCCTATGTTTATAGCAGCACTATTTACAATAGCTAAGCTATGGAAACAACCCAAATGCCCAAAAATAGATGACTGGATCAAGAAGATGTGGTATATATATGCAATGGAACATTACTCAGCAATCAAAAAAGATAAACTCATGCAATTTGCAGCAACATGAATGGAGCTAGAAGGGACCATGCTCAGTGAAATAAGACAGAAAGAAAAAGAAAAATACCGGATGGTCTCACTCATAGCAGGAAGTTAGAAAACCTAAATAAGGGACCAGGAAAAAGACTAATTATAATAAAGAGAAAATCAAAATCAACAAGCAACTATGAACCAGGGGCACACTACAGGGTGGGGGAGGAGAGGAGGGATTAGAGTCAAAATGAGGGGGGTGGGAATTGTCTGGGGAATATAACCAAAATGAAAATGCATACATTGTGTAAAAATGAAAAATGATGTAAGAATGATATAAAATAATATATATATATATAAAGAAAGGGCAAGTGTGAGGGGATACACAAAACATATAGACAAGACCCACAGTTAAACAGCTTGCCATTAATTGAATTTTCTGATTTAACCTCTGTGGGTCATCTACTTTTGTATTAAAACTACCAGAATCCTGGAAGCAAAAATGGGCCTGCATTGGTGACTTCATAAGTTCAGGTTCAATTGCTGAGTATATGGACTTACATGCATGCATGCATGTGTGTATGTGTGTTTACATGAGTGTTAGTTGATCACTGATCAATGGATATTGATAAACACAGCCCATTACCAACCAGCTACAAATTGCCAGTCTTATAGCCAGACTGTCAATCTTGTCAGCTCGCTTGGAAGAGGCGTCATGAGGGCTGCTGCGGACAGCCGAGGCTGGGCAGAGGCAGGCTTGGCAGGAATCAAATCATTTCTCCTGTGTTTCAAAGGGGCAGAAACCAGACTGACTTGTAGAATCTTGGAGGAATGAAAAGAATTTCAATAAGAAAATTTGATTAGAAATGTAAGGAGCTATACCGCTTCCTGAAAAACAATCAAGCAATTGGAAAGCATGGGCCACAGATTCCAAAAAGCACTGACAGTATGACTCTATCTTTTTAGTCCAAAGAATAAGTACAGATCACAGGCTAAGTATATATTTTGCTTAAATTTCTATAACAGAAAACAAAAGAAATGTATAAGCTTTAAGTGTTTGGAGAGAGTAAATGTTTTTAAAGCATTTATAATGGAATATTATATACATTTTCTGGTCATGAATATACAGTGATGTCGTTTGGATGAAATGTTGGGTTCAGTGAGCGGGGTCCTTGGGTTCCCTCTGAGAAAAGTTTCGGCAGAGCTCCCCTTTCAGCAGCACCTGGCGACTTTGCCCGGGAGACAGAGACATTTGTCCAGACACAAGGCGGCAAAGGTTACATTTTAAAAGGACAGGTTTATTAGAAAAAGGAGAAAGGAAAAAGAGGGGTGCCTGCACAGACTTAAGTGGGGAGAGAGCTGCTGCTGCTGCTGCTTTTGAAAGGGAAAAGGTATCTGACAAGAAATGTGTAGGCAGGCAATCTTGGCGGGAGCCGGGTTTTGCCAGAGCAGAAATTGTACTGGTAGGGTGTTCTTCTTTTGGGGAGGGGTCATTCCTTTGTGGAAGGTTATCTGTTGTTAAATCAATCACTTCTAGGGTGAGATTGGGTTAATTTGTAAGGACCAATGATTCTCTAATGACCCTCCATCTCGTATCCCCACCTCTGGCCCTCGCCTCGGATACTTCCTATATAGGGGGCGCCTAAGGATTTTTCATTTCTGTAGCCCTTTTAAGGACTTAATCATTTTGCCCCCCACCTCCAGTTTCTGGCTTGTGACGCCATCATCCCAAATTTTCTGCTTTTAGCCTCATCATACAGGGATTCTTGGAAATATTATTGCTTGTAGGTCTGAAATTATTTAAAATTTTTCAAAGAATGACATGAATATTCACTAAAATATGCAAATAAGGAAGTTTATAGCAGCACTTTTCCTAGTAGACCCAAATTGAAAATTACCCAAAGGCTTATCAATTGTAAACTAGATAAATAAAATCTAATATTTTAATAACATGAAATGTTATGCAGCAGTGAAAAGCAACAAAGCATAGTTAGACAACCCTACATGAATGGATTTCACTGTTCAGTGAAAGAAACCAGACACAAAGGTACATATAACACGATTCCATTTATAGGGCTTCACAAAGAGACAGAAGTAATTTACAGAGATGGAGGTAAGGAGGGCGGTTACCTTTGGGCAGTGGATGGTGACTGGTGAGGGACAGGACTCGGTGAGCCTCTGATTGGCTGGAATTGTCACAAAACGTGGAGCTGAAAGGTGGAATTTGAACATCTGACTGAATGTTAATTGCATCTCGAGGAAAAAAAAAATAAATAAAAGGATTAGAAGGCATGGCCTTTGCTGTCCCCTGTCTGGCTCTTCTTCCTCTATTTGCCAATTTCTTAGAACCATCATGTCCTACTTTCTCCTTTACTGTCTTCTGGACCCCAGAGAGCATTCATTTATCCCACTACATTAGAGGGGCTACGCACCAGTATGTCTGTTCCCCAGATTCTGAGGTCCTGGAGGATGGGGCCATATTTTATCATCTTAACCTCAGTACATGGCCCCACACTTTAAATATCTCACTCTAGCCCCGCTATGACCCACCTCTGTGGCCCTCCCACGAGCAGCAATCTACTGGACCAAAGGGACATATCCAACCAGAGTCCCTGGCCTTCCCTGCTAGTCCATGCTATGGAAACCCAGGGCCCAGGAATTCCCTGCTTCAGTGCCTTGTGCCTGCTGCGAGGACCTGTGTGGGCCTCTGCCCCAGGCCCATCCTCCTACACTTAGGACGCACAGCCCCTTGGGAAGGCGGGCCAGGGTGTCCACGTCTTTGTGGGTGAGGCCTCTCCTGGTATAGCAGGGAGATGGAGTGGCCAAGAAGGGGATCCGGAGGCCTGAATGGGGACTAGGGCCCTAGAGCAGACCCATCTGTGCTGTCATGTTCAGCATGAAATATCGAAGTATCCAAAAATTTTAAACTTGAACCTGAGTTCCAGGTCATTATGAAGATATGATGTACTTGTCAAGGTAGAAAGACTGAACACATTTTCTTCAACAATGTTAGCTTAATGTGTAATTTGTAGATCTTTAAACATATGGTATGTGGCAGTCCCTTTGTACATTTGCCCTGGGACCCCGTATGTTCGGGCAGGTTTGGCTGACATAAAGTAGCTACTCAGGGCCTCCCCGGTGGCGCAGCGGTTGAGTGCTGCCCGCAGCCTCTGCAGCACCGGTTCGATCCCCGGCTGCTCTCCGGCCACGGGAGGAGGGTCCCACATGGCGCGCAGACCTCTCCTGCCGCCCGCTGCTCCCCTCAGCAGTGTACTTCGGTCCTTCTGCCTGCTCTGCTCCCCGCTCTGGCTCTGGTGAATTCTCTCACCCTCCCGCGCTTCTGACTGTACCCAGTGCTTGTATAAATAAATAAATAAATAAATAAATAAGTAAATAAATAAATAATAAATCTTAAAAAAAAAAGTAACTACTCAATACAGATTTACATTTCCATCACTGCTTATAACTGTGATTACATGAACAATCCTACCTGCTCATTCCAAGACAATTCATGTCACTGATGGGGCACACCAAAGAGGCCTAAAATTTGGCTTCAGCAGTGTGACCTGCGTATCCCCATCACCACCCCCAAGATACACACAAAGCCCAAGATAACAAACTTTGCTGTGTTTTCTGTCTGTCACCTTCAAGGATGGTTCCAGCCTGAACTGGGTTTCTTATGACCTTTTAGGAAATCAATCAGCACCTGAAAAGTCTTTGGAAAGTTTCTTCTCCTTTTACTTGCACACAAAGGCTTTAGACAGATGGTTTCTGACTATAGATCTTCCAGCCTCTGTGTAAGGCAGGCTCTCCTGGGCTCCTGCTTGCTTCTAGGTGTGGGGCACGTGTGCAAAGCTGGCATTCGATTAACGGCTTTAGGGGTGACAAAAAGCATACGTTGGCAGAGAGAAGGGAAGACATTTCCAGAGAGGACCAGGCAGGCGTGCAGAGGCAGAACGAGCCAGCACTGGGGGGAGGACAAGCAGCAGCCGAGGTGGACTAGAGCAACAGCTCCTCTGGTTTCGCAGCCGCATCCCCAGCTCCTGGTCCAGGGCCTGGCACATAGTAGGTACACAAAGTAGGTGCTGGGGGAACAAGTGAATGAATTAGCTGAGGAAAGTGGGAGTGCCGTTGTGAAAAAGAGACAGGTAAAGGTGTTTGGACTTGGTGCTGCAGGTGATGGGCAGCTTCTGAAAGTTCTACAACAAGGGAGAGACTTGGCAAATGTTTTAGGAGGATGCATCTGACTTAAAGGAGAGACTAGTGAGGAGAGGAGGAGGAGGAGGTCGCTCATAGAAGGTTTTGACAATCGGGCCTCCCCGGTGGCCCAGCGGTTGAGCGCTGGGCTGAGAAGCTGCCTGCAGCCTCTGCAGCGCCGGTTCGATCCCCAGCCACCGGGCGAGGGTCCCACATGGCACGCAGACCTCTCCTGCTGCCCACTGCTCCCCTCAGCAGTGTACTTCGTCACTCTGCCTGTTCTACTCTCCACTCTGGTGAATTCTCTCACCTTCCCATGCCTCTGACCTCTGACTGTACCCAATGCTTGTATAAATAAATAAATCTTAAAAAAAAAAAAGAAGGTTTTGACAATTTGCTCTGCTTTGCCCGGGTCACGCCTCACACCCACATTTTTCTTTTTCTTTTTTTTTTTAAATATTTTTTTAAAGATTTATTTATTTATTTTTATTTTATACAAGCGCAGGGTACAGTCAGAAGCGCGGGAGGATAAGAGAATTCACCAGAGCCAGAGCGGGGAGCAGAACAGGCAGACTGACAAAATACACTGCTGAGGGGAGCAGCGGGCGGCAGGAGAGGTCTGCGCGCCATGTGGGACCCTCCTCCGGTAGCCGGAGAGCAGCCGGGGATCGAACCGGCGCTGCAGAGGCTGCGGGCAGCTTTGCAACCCGGCGTTCAACCGCTGCGCCACTGGGGAGGCCCACACCCACGTTTTTCAAGTGAGAGCTCCAAGCTAGAGGGGAAGGTGACTGCGAACCTTTACTCTGTTTCCCATATGCTGGGTTTCCCCTTAGCTGCCTGTGGTCCTGGGTGGACAGATCTGTGGCAAGCACCCCCTGCTACAGAACAGACTTTGCATGATGGTGGACAGCAGAGACCTTAACACTAGGTTGCCAGGAAGTGTCCATCAAAGTAACCAAAGCCTTGTTATGGAAAAGCGTTAGGGTCTCGTTGCGAGGGACATTTTCCACCTGCAGTCTGAATCACCAAATGCACTTTAGAGCCCAGTGTGTTTTGTATCAACCATTGGATTTCTGACGAAACGACATTCCCGTAGGACCAATTTGCAAATACACAACAAATTCCAATAGGAATATTACATGAAGGCCTTAAATTGTCAAGAGCTCCCCGCCCAATTTACCCAAGCTAATAGAATTGGCACCCGCCCCAGTGTTTGCACTGGAGCATGCACACTACTCGAGCAAATGAAGGAGATACAAACAGATGTGCATTCTGGCAGCTCAGCGGAAGCTGCACACGGTCCAGCAAGAGACAAATGCGGCATTAGCAGATACAAACCTGGGGATCAGGTTCCTAATAAGAGCAGCTACCATTTACTAAGCACTTGCTCTATATCAGGCTCCATGAGACACTTTGCTAATGGCCTCTCATTCCATCTTACAGCCACTTATGAGGTAAGAGCTGTCATCATGCAATTCTGCAGAAAAGGGGGTGAAGCCGTCATGTAAATGAGAAAAACCTGAAATCTTACTAGCTATGTGCATGTGGGCAAGTCATCAAGCCTCCCTGGCCCTTGGTTTCCTCACCTATAAAAAGGGAATCATCACAGCACCTATTTCGCAGAGTTGTTGGAAAAATCAGATTAGCAGACCACCTGGCTTCCTGTAAGCATTCAAGAATTGGTAGCTATATCATTAGCGTGATGAACCCAACCAAACTCTCCACCACTTGGCCTTATGGCCTACACCTTCAGGAGTCATCGCAGATCCTAGTCTCCTTGACCAGATTGGGTGGATAAAATCAATGAGCACAAATACTAACACTATTTATATGGATGAGCCACCTCCATGCTCTGGCCTTGATTATCCTAGGTACCACCGTGAGAACTCAGATTTCCAAAAAGTATCTTCTAGAGAAAAGAACTCAGAAGGAAGGCAAAGGAATGGTTCCAGTTAACATAAGAATAAAAGTAAGAATCCTGTCCATTCTCAGTATGCTGTTGTAATTAAAAGCAAAGATCCAGCCTGGTCCAGGAGACTAGATTGCTGTGTTATGTGTGGAACAGCAGCCAGAGCTGAGCTCACCAGACACAGCCACTGCACCCACCCAGCTTGGAAACCCACCAGAGAAACAACTTTCATCCAGCCAACCAAAGCCATTTGGCCTAGGTGTCTGGGCCTTTGTAGATATTTTTCTGCTCAAACTTGAAAAAGATGTCCTAGTTACCGCTGTCTTCAAAGCCTACCCAAGCTGCAAAAGGTCATCCATCTTCCTATGACGATTTGGAATCATATCCATGAACCAGAAACAAATTCGAACTGAGGTCAATTGTTACCCAGGTTCTCAGGAAACTGGGACTACTATTATTTTCTGAATTAGAGTTCACTGATTCCAGGGGATGCGTAAACGCTTAGGGCAATAGAGAATGGAAGTGTGACAAAAGTTATGATAACTAGACTAGAGATTGTGATGGCAGGAAGGGTGGCGCTGGCTGGCAGGACTGATTTAGCCTGCATTTTTCTCAGGAGTGATTATCTCAAAAGGATCAGCATTTTGCTTTGTTGTTCTTTATTTCTTCCCCTCTACATTTTCTTTTCTTTTTATTTTTTTTCCTCCCTCTCACCCCCCTCTACATTTTCATATATTTTAAGGTCCCACCTGACCCTCTCTGCTTCATGAAGCCTTCCTCTGACCAATGGCTGTAGTCGCTATATTTGAACAACTCACCTAACAAGTCATCATTCATGCCAGTAGTAACACTGATCACTATTTTGTTAGCTGTTCATGTATTTATACATCTTCTCACCCCACTTAGTGCCATAAAGACTGGAGTTTTATAGTTCTTAAAAATTATGATTTATCCCAAATATTTCCCAAAAAATTCAAGCTGGCTGGGCCTGTTGTCTTCGCTCTCTCACAGAATTTAGCACAGGTATGCTAACACAGTTATCTAACAAAAGTAAGTCACACACGTTGAGTAAAAGAGTGAATAAAGGAACGAGTCATTGACCCA